CTCGTATCTCTCACCGTTAAAAAGATACCCATGGTGAGTATGGTAAGTGGGACACACTGTATAAAAGTTAGGTTATTCTATTTTATTGTACCAGTATTTCACCTGATGAAGCTACTCTGTTAGCGAAACATGTCGTGTGATTAAGAATTTCGTGGAAATCTTATCGTTTGTGAAGTTTTTACAATATACAGGGACTTAGGTATTCCGCATTTTCTTTGATGAACATTGATATAACTGTTTTAGATTACGCCACTAATTTTAGTATATCAATGAATAACTATGTTCAACCAAATTTCGAAAAATTCGAATGTAACGACTGAGTAAGGATTGGAGACATTTTGAAATTTTCAGTCCATTTATCAACAGATAGGGAGAGGAGGTGGGTATTGGATTGTATTTTTGAACTTTAGTAGGCCATTTGTTTTGGAGGTTACTTCCAAAGGCGAATAATTCCAAAAAGCTCCGATGTTCTATGGACAAATGAGTTTTGGTAGAGAGTTGTTCGACATATCTCGAGGTTGACGACAAAAATACTGAGCATGTCGAGTTCTTCTGACTAGGGTCCCTTGATGCAAACTGACGTATTTGTCATCTAACAAGGTATGGACAGATCATAGCTCCTTTCTCTTTTAATCATCTAGTGACTATGGTTTCGTGTATTGGCGTCCTTGACATGACAATGCTCACACGTCACATTCATAGGCGTAAAAAGAGAGAGATCTTACAAAATTCTAATTTCATACTTTATCTTAATACATTATTCAATTCTGTTTTAGAAGGATGATGAAATATGCTGCATTAGGCTGTATCAATCAGTTGGATGGCAAATTTGAATTTGTCAGCTTTCTATCAAATGCAAATGAACTTAGAACATGGAATGTGAAATGACCAAATGGGGAAAATTGGTGAATACATCAGCAAAATATTCGATGTATTCAATATTCATTGTGCAAGTGCAAGTTTTTGAATGCATTTTAGTATAGAAGAAGTTTTGATTTAAAACGGAGGAAAGAAGAGGCATATAGTTTGAATACGTACATAAAATTTTTCACCATTTCTCAACCATAAGGCTTAGTCTGAAATCAATATTCATTTATTGATAGGTACTGCCTGAGAACAGTCCCATTTGGTAAAACGCATTAAATTTTCAGGAAAATTTGCTTACTGCCTCACAAAGATTATACTGGAGTTGAAATATCAAAAACTCGAAAATTATCATCATCATTCGGATATAATATGTAGAGTTGAATGAGAAATGACATGTGGAAATTACGAATGATACGCCAATGTCCTCGATGTAACCTAAAAAACAACAAATGTCAGAAATCTAGTGTGTATCCCCAGAAATGAATAAAGATGGAACTATATAACTGTTTCACAAACACTTTAGAGTGAGAAGAGACGAGGATCTGTCCGTACCCTGTTAAGATGACATATACGTCAATTTACATCTGACTAGTATCGCATGTGTTTGTTAGTGTACTGTTTTTAATTGAGTCGCTTCAATCTTGACAGCAAAAGGATGTGAAACTTATTTGAGCCAGTCAATTTCCTGTGAAAACGCAATATTCAAAGAACGGAATTTGAATGTATCACCCGGTGTAAGTTGCACTTTGGAGCTGGGATTATCCCCAAGTATAAGTCCGCATTTATTCGACCTCAAAATCCTACCCACTAAACTGTGAACATAGATGGTGATCCGAACAGGGTTGGCTCAAGTGGACTCGAATCCCTCTTTTCTATACGAGGCAAGCCAAATGAAAAAAACAATACAAAAATATCTCAAATACGTGTATCACTGCGTTTGAATATTTTTCCTATCATGGAGACTTAAAGACAAATCCAATCGTTGGTCAGTGACATTTCGTTTTGAAAAATGTTTGAAGAGAAGAAATATAGAAATATTCAAAAAATATAAAAATTTTACTCTTGGGACGATTTCAACATGAAGAATAAACAATATTATTCTTTGAAAATTGTCTAGTAGTGTGACAGACTGATGTTAGTATATAAATGAGTTTTGTAACTATACAATGAGTTACATGATGTTTTCATTAATTGATCTTGAATCCACCATTTTCATGTTCTTTTTTCAGCAGTGGATACCATGCTCTGTCTATGCAAGAATGCAAGTGGATTCCTTGATTTTTCTCTTTTGTTGTTTATCTACCTTTCTTATGATTTTAATATTATTCCACTCTGCCATATTATTATGTTGTCCATTTCCAGTAAGGATATGTTCAGCTAGTTTTGATTGGTCGATATGTGTTTTCTTGATATTATATACTTATATGTTCTTTCGTCCTCACTGCTAGAGGTATCTCGTCTCGTTTCACCTGTATAATAATTTCCACAAACACAAGGTTATACTATGAACACAATTTTTTGATGATAGTTTTTCATTTTCCGGCTTTGTTTGTGTTAAGATGAATCTTATTGTATTTTGAATTTATAGAAACCAGGAGACAAAATCCCAAATAATCAAGGAACATGAATGTACCATCTGGTCGATTATCCTACAGACCGTTTACATTATTTCCTCAACAGTTGGTATAATTTTTTCATGAGTACGACAACAAATCAGTTCTTTCAACTGTTTCAGTCGTCAATTCCATTTTCTTACCTGTAAAAAAATTGACTGTACGGTACAGTGTTCCCGAATGTCAAAGAATATTCTTCTGATGATAGCTCTGTTTTTGAATGACATCCAATTTGAATTCAAGTGTATTCCTGTTGTAAAGTAATTTCCATGTTATTTCGCTATTAGATATATACATATGGTAAGAGCAGGAGATAAAAATTTAGTGTATTATATAACTCGCACGGAATGTTGATTTCCCTACGGCCATAGATATAAAAACTAGATTAAAGATGCTACGGCTGATGCTGTAAACTTCATTCCGTTCTCGTCACAGAATATACTTTGTATACGACCATTATACAGTATGAAGATGTGATCCGTTAATTAAGTCACAATTTTGGATAATCTTTTTTTACCTTACTTATAATGGTTGTAGCTAGGATGTTTATATGGAGAAAAAGTATTATTTTGGCCCCAACAATATGTCCTAAAATATTTACATCAAAATTTGAATCACCTTGTATGTAGATGTTTCAATTAAAACTAGAATATTTTACACAATCATGTTGGAGTCGTGAGGAATGATCACAAAAATTGATGTTGCGTTTTCTTATTTTTTCCATCTCTTCAAAAAACCACATAGTTATCGTACAGTCAGATGCAATGAATATGTCTCACATGGTCGGTGTTAGTACCTTCAGACATTTTTTCAATAAGAGCGCCATCCAACCCTGACATTTTTTTGCATCTGACTGTACATTTCCAATGACAATAACTTACCTCCGATATTCGTTCGGAAGTTCTAAAAATTACAAATTGAATTCATGCTATATTTCCTATTCTCTAAGTGTACACACACAAAGAAAACAGGTTATCCAGCGCCTATTTTCGGCGCAGAATACCAGCGCCGGTTTTATCGCTAGTACGTACATAAAAAACGCTGGGTTTTCAGTTAGATGTCAGTAAAAAAGCAGATTCTGTGGAGGCAAGATGTCGAGTGCATCCTCTGATGAAGAATTTCTGCTATTGGAAAATGCTTTTGTGAAGCAGAGACCAAGACAAGGAATACATCCACTATATCAAGAGCTCTTGGTTTATGGAGAATATCATCACCTATTTATAACTTCAAAAGAACATGCAGAACGGTTTTTTCAGTACATTAGAATAATGACATTGAATACATTTTGTTATATTTTGCGAGAAATTGAACAACGTCTAACAAAAACGTGGTGGTGGTCCACAATTTTTGTGTAATGTTTCTATTGCTATGAGATTTGAGCCGTTTGTCCCACAGCGCAGGCCTCGTAAACATAGCAGAGATTAGACTTTCCACATCTATTTTCCAATTAAATATTAATAATATTACATATATGTATTGACATGCACGTCCGCTTCCGACAACAAGCGACCAAGAATTGAAAATTCATTCCGGTAATATAGTCAGCGCCGATTTACGCTTGTAACAGGTTCCGACACGCTATGTCTATGTCCACGATCATTTAAAAGCTAAATAGATTATTGGCGCTTATAGGCGCCGACTGCCAGTAAGCAGGAAACCTGCTTTCTTTGTGTGTGTACCCATATCTATTTTTCCATTATACCAGTTTCCGAGTGGGTACATTATAAATTTAATCCTGTCTGAGATACTAGGTGTCAAAAACATTAGTCTCCTTTTGAGGAGGCCCAAAAGATCTAGGGACGGCCCTGGCCTGACGTTTACTGCAAATCGTCGCGGAATATCTGCACCCCAATATTCCGGATGTCTGCAGTTTGGTATTTGCGTCCGTTTTTCTTGCAAGCTCGTACAAGTCGTATCTCTGGAGATAACCACAATTTCCTACTATCATTTAAGTTCCGAAACACCCTTTTGTCTCTAACCACGGAGTAATATATCCTGCTTGTTTTCATCGCTTTTGTCCTGTGGTCACTTACCGGCTTCACAAGTTCAAAGAATTTTTTAGGGTAACTTTAGCTAGAAAGAAATTGGTGAATATTCCGTTTAATACTTTAGTGACAAGAAATTTGAAAAGTACTTTTCAATCGGAAGGGTTGAACATATCTCAAACTGCAAAAAACATTCATTGTCTTTTGGCTTACCATTGAGATAAAATTGATACTTATGTTGAGTCAGGTATTTATGACCTGAATTGTAATGACTGTAACTTAAAATATACAATGTGTCCAAGATAAGAATGTAACTCATGGGGATCTCTTTTATTTTTCTCACGTTATTCAGAGAGACTTAGGAAAACAGGAAGTCATTTCTCATTGATATTTTTCAGCTCTATAAAACAGCCTTCAGAGGCATTTCATTTTCAGGAAGACCATCCTTATCTTGGAGTTCTTGGACACACCATCATACTTCAAATATAATGCGGGTTTGATAGATCATGTTTAGATAATTCAAGACGAAAATTAGATTTGTATCTTAACCTCTGAATTTTGCTCTTTTCCTTTTGTTGGGTATTCGACGGTTTCGTCTATTGATACTGTTAGACATTGCCAGGATGTCTGAACTCTCATGCCACTTGTCTTTTCTGTTGACATGTGACGTGTCGAATACCTACGTAACAAGATGGCCATATTAGACATGTTCTAGGTTTGGCTTTTGTTGGGTTCCATTTTGCTTTTGCAAAAATGAACTCCCCCTTTTTAACACTTATTAATATTAGGATGTAATCAATCTTTTTTTTTCATTCCCAGGTAAGCATTCCATTTATAATAATCCATTTCTTGCACTTATTCACATTCATTCTAGGACACAATTTATGTAGCAAGTTTGGATTATGCTGAGGATGGACATATACAGGGTGATCCACGGTGGATGGCCTATCAGAAGTATCTGGACAGAACATTCTGAAAATTGGAATGCTTCAATAATTGAACATTCTCTATCCATCTAAAATACTTTCATCGATACAGTGCTGCCACTTCTATCAGAAACGACTAGCAACTTGGTTATTTCAAATGGAGCACCCTGTATTTCATTACATTTTTCGATTCTTCCTGAAGAGCTGATTTCATCAGCGTATCACAATTGGGGTCTAGCAGGAATGATTACAGAGATATAGGGTGTTCAAAATCGAGATTTTTCAATTTTAGGATTTTTTCTATTACTATTCATTATCGATCAAAATGGCTTACATGTCCCTATCCCAACTTTTGATGCACTATCTACTGGAATTTAATTGAAAAAAATACAGTATCTGTTTCAATTAGATGTCAGTAGAAAGTGAGTCGAAAGTTGAGTAAGGGACATGTGAGCCGTTTTGATAGATAATGAATAGTTTCGACACAAAAAATTGAAATATCTCGATTTTGAACACCCTATATCTCTGTAATCATTCCTGACAGACTCCCATGTGTGAAATATTGATGGAATCAGCTCTTCAGGAAGAATCTGAAAATGTTATAAAATACAGGGTGCTCCATTTAAAATAACGAAGTTGCTAGTTGTTTCTGATAGAAATGGCAACACTGTATCGATGATAATATTATAGACGGATAGAGAATGTTCAATTATCAAAGCATCCCAATTTTCAGAATGTTCTGTCTTTTCCACCGTGGATCACCCTACATAGTTCCGAAACATGATTTGATCATATTAAAATGTCGTGGAGATGATTTCGAGTAGTATTTAGTTATTAAAAAATAATGTACAATGTTTAGACGCAATTCCAAAAAATCCAATGAAAAATTGACGCTAAGAAAATTTTCACCCAAAAATTATACAACTGTATGTAAAATACTCTCCAGAATTCAAAAATGTGAAAATATACAGGGAGTCTCATTTGAAAATCAGAAGTTGAGGTTGAGGTCCTTTCCGATGACACCGGAAGTAACTCAAAATGCATAATCATATCAGTGGATGCAAAATATGATGATTTATGAACCATCCAAATTCATCTCGAATGATTCAAAAGATACAGGAGCGGCCTCTGGTTTTCATGACCAAACCCGCTATACTCATTGTCGTAGATATCTTAGAAGGGGAAAATGGGAAAAACGAACTGAAAAAAACCTTGAAATTCTGAGTAGGTGAAGATGGTAGGAAAAGAATGGTATTCATTGACTTATACAGGGTGGGTCACGGTGGATGGCCTATTAGAAGTATCTGGAGAACGAAGAGATAGAACATTCTGAAAATTGGGATGCTCTGATAATTGGACATTCTCTATTCGTCTAAAATGTTTTCATCGATACAGTGTTGCCACTTTTATCGGAATCAACTAGCAACTTCGTTATTTTAAATGGAGTACCCTGTATTTTATTGCATTCTTAGATTCTTCCTGAAGAGCTGATTTTATCAATGCATCACACTCGGGGTCTTGTAGAAATGATTACAGAGATATAGGGTGTTCAAAATCGAGATTTTTCAATTTTGTTTTTTTTTTGTGTCGAAACTATTCATTATCGATCAAAATGGTTCACTTGTCCTCATCTCAACTTTGGATTCACTATCTACTGACATTTAATTGGAACAGATACAGGGTGATCAGAATTCTGAATCTTGAAGCACCCTGTATTCTTTCCAATAAAATTCCAGTAGATAGTGAATCAAAAGTCAAGATAGAGACATGTAAGCCGTTTTGATCAATAGTCAATAGTTTCGACACAAAAAAATACTAAAATTGAAAAATCTAGATTTTGAATACTCTATATCTCTGTAATAATTTCTGCTAGACCCCAAGTGTGATACATTGATGAAATCAGTTCGTCAGAAAGAATCTAAAAATGCAATAAAATACAGGGTGTTCCATTTGAAATAACAAAGTTGCTAGTTGTTTCTGATAGAAGTGGCAACACTGTATCGATGAAAACATTTTAGACGAATTGAGAATGTTCAATTATCGAAGCATTCCAATTTTCAGAATGTTCTGTCTTCTCGTTCTCCAGATACTTCTAATAGGCCATCCACCGTGACCCACCCTGTATATTGGGTCGAAAAAAAATGGAGAAATATATTTTTTCAAACTTCTGGAGGTTATACGGGAATACTTCCATTGGCAAGGCAATAGAACCTCAAAAATAACCTCTTGGTCAAAAATCGTTTCATTCATTCCACAAATAATCAATATGAAGATAATGAATAATATGAAGCACAAGATGAATATTTATGGAATATACAGGGTAACTCACGGTCCATGGTACGTTAGACGTTTATGGAGAACGGGACATAGGATCATTCTGAAATTTTGGTTACTCACGTAGTTGCTCTTGGTCTATCGATCTAAAATATTTTCAGCTCTGCGGCGTTGCCGCTTCTATCGAAAAGTAGCAACAACTTTGTTATTTCAAATGGAACACCCTGTATTTTATTGCATTTTCAGATTTTCTCTGAAGAGCTGATTTCATCGATGTATCACACTTGGGGTCTAGCGGAAATGATTACAGAGATATAGGGTGTGAAAAATCGTAAATTTTTTTTGTCGAAACTATTCATTATTGGTCAAAACAGCCCTATCTCAACTTTTGATTAACAATCTACTGATATTTAATTGGGACATATAACGGGTGATCAAGATTCTGAATTCTGCACCACCCTGTATTTGTTTCAATTAAATGTCAGTAGATAGTTGATCAAAAGTTGAGATAGGGACATGTGAGCCGTTTTGACCAATAATGAATAGTTTCGACAAAAAAAAATTCCTAAAGTTGAAAAATGTCGATTTTTCACACCCTATATCTCTGTAATCATTTTCGCTAGACCCCAAGTGTGATACATCGATAAAATCAGCTCTTCAGAGAGAATCTGAAAATGCAATAAAATACAGGGTGTTCCATTTGAAATAACAAAGTTGTTGCTACTTTTCGACAGAAGCGGCAACGCCGCAGAGCTGAAAATATTTCAGATCTATAGACCAAGAGCAACTACGCCAGTAACCAAAATTTCAGAATGATCCTATGTCCCGTTCTCCATAAACGTCTAACGTACCATCGACCGTGAGTTACACCCTGTATAAGAATTTGAAATAACGAATGATATGGAATTATTCATTCAAGAACAATTGAACTAACATTTCCATATTATGTCCAACAGAAAACTACTCCTCTGAATAAATAAAACCTTCGTTTGACATAACGAACATTTCATTAAATCTGGTATATCGACAGATGGAAACACGCTGACAAATACTTGAATCAGAATTCGTTATTCCAAGTGGAAGTTTTTGTGCCGAATCGAATATGTGTCTGTCCCCGTAGAGTTTCTGTTGACTTTTCCATATTTTCGCATCTCCAACGACACACAAACTGGCAGTTCCTGATTTTATCGAGGCACCGTTTTCCATACTAACAGACTATATTTGAAGAGGGACTCCGTTTTCTTGACACATATTCAACGAATATCCCTATATTATTCCATGTGTGTGTGTCATCAAGATTACATCATATTTTTCCCACCATGTTATGCCTCAGATATAGTAGGGTGCCACACAGATAAATCTTGAGCCACATTCACCATCAATCCACATATAGTTTCATTTTCAATGCTACCAGGAAGGTCCAGTTGAAGTTTATGAGTCTCTTCATTTTCTAATCCTAATCCTACAGTCAGTGACTATATGTGTCTATGTCCCTCGAACTTTCATCAAGCAAGTAACATATCCTTGACGACAGCTTCAAGCCTTTCACAATCCGCAGCAAACTTTCTGATAGTCTCAGAGAGCAGACTAGTCGCCATCTCATCTTCATTCATCAACCACCTGAACTTAGCTTCAGTGACTTGCATGGCTTCCATTGGTATTTCGAGAGCAGCAACCTTGCTCAGTTTCTTCGCCACTGGCATTTCATTATTCACCAATTCTTCTAGCAAAGCTACTGGAATAGTCAAGAATTCACTACCTGCACCTGATCCTACTTCTTCTGAGTTCAGGAAATAGGCACCCATAACCTTGGTCTTGAACAAAAATGTTCTCATGTAGTTGAAGATCTCGGTCCATACCACGACTCCAGGATGGTCATCCATAGATAACTCCTTTTGATTATTAGTGTACCACTGGCGTATACGTCCCACGAATGGAGCCACACAATACACTGAAGCTTCAGCACAAGCTGCAGCTTGCACGAGCGAAAACATCGTCGTCATGTTGCAGTGTACTTCGTGATCAAGTTCCAGGATCTCTGCAGCTCGTATGCTTTCCCACGTCGATGGAAGTTTGATCACGACTCTGTCTTTCGGAATGTTTTCTCTGGCGAAAAGCTGTATGAGCTTCAAAGCTCTCTGCACACTCGCCTGGGTATCGAACGCTAATCTCGTATCTATCTGGATGTGGACCTTACCTGGAATATATAATGATGAAGAGGGTGGAAAGCTCTAATTTTGAGTGACAACGGAAAATGATAAAACTCCACCGCCCCGTGTGAGAGTCGAACTCACAACCTCTGGGTTACATGCACTGAACTAGGGTTATAGTTCAGTGGTTACATGCCCAACGCTCTGCCAATTGAGCTAACGGGACACCCGTAGATCAGTCGGCAGGGAGGTCGAGTTCTCATCAAACACCAGCCGCAGAAGTCATTCGAAATCATGTACTATATGAAGTATTGCTGGCAGGATGGTACACTGAGAGAAATATCTATTGGCTGTTATACGAAACTGTATAACTTTCTAAATATTTCTGAATTGAATAGGTGCTAGCCAATTTTCCTCTTCACTATAATCAAGTCCATCATTTCAAAAAATCATATAACTGTGGAACAACACTTATACAAGACTGAAATAACGCTCATATACGGGTCTAGTGATTAGCATTACAATATTAAATAGTGATATTATGAAAATGAAATAATGCTTAAATCAATATGATTTGCTCTCAATTAAATAGTCAAATGATTCGCATTTCATTATTAGGATGAACTTTTTTTCCAGAAAAATGATGTAGGTAGAAGATTGTCGAGAAATATTGAAGATATATCTACTATAAGTATATTTACCCCCAAGTAGAGTTTTTCATTGAAACTACAGGGCATTGAAGTGCATCACAAGGGCGAGATCCTCAGTACACAATACCTCAATTTGACGATAAAAATGCTTCCAATTTGAAGTATTTGTTCTTCTTGTCACTACTTTGGATTATTAGTTGACATTGTTGCCAAAAATCCTTCATTTCTTCTGATGAATGTTCGGCTTGAATTCTTGTGAATTTTGAAGCAGCAGTCCAAGATAAGGATGCGAATACATCCTGTATATGCTATACTATCACCAATATAACTGTGTAAATTCAAGCTCTCGCCAGTCGCCACTATAGTGAATAGTGGGGTAGTTAAAAAATATAAAATTTCATCCAAATTGGAAGAATTCCCGATACATTACCGATTTATCGTGAAAACACTATAACACCCTGATGCAGTTCAAACTCCTGTAGTTCCTCAAAAAATACTATTCTTGAGGAAATTCGTACAAGAACTTTCAATCACTCCACTTTTCCGAACAAAAAAATCTCACCCTGTAAGAAGGGTTCACGAGCTGCTGCGAGCTAATATGTCCGTAGACGACTAACGATTCTGATGAGACAAGTGTTCATAAGTGAGTGAGATGGCTCATTGTGGTGAACGAGTATGACAAAGATGGTAAATGATGAAGAGATAGAACAAAAAGAGTGATTTGAAAAGGTGACCTGTTTCGCGTTGAAAACGTTGACTTTTCACGTTCATCAGATGACATCTCGTGGTTAAAATGTCTCATTCAGCAGTTATGGAATATTTTTGAATAGATACTTGTATAACTGGATTTTTCTCGGTGTACTATAACAATAAAGAGCATGTTCCGATATTCCCGAACAGTACTGCCCAGTATATTTTATCGTTCCGATTTTACTGAAATTTACTGGCATGACAACGTTGTCGCGGGTCATTGCAAGGAACCCTGTTAAGAGGCTGTTGATGGCCACTGGTGCAAAAATGGTGATGAACTGCCAGTATTCATGTAATGTTAGGTTAAGAGTTTGAATGATTATAGGAATGAGTCGATAAAAATTATGTACTATTATTTTCAAATACTTTGGGAAAATGTATAAATTCGAACTGGAAGATCTCTCAGAGGCAGTATTGGTAACGGCAGTATACGGTGAAACTGCCACTAATATACAGGATGATTTGTTATGAGATGTTTATTCCTACTTTTATTACCAAATATTTCACAGCTAGAGGTACTAGAGCTTGGCGTTTCTGATGAACCAGAATTACTATCGGATAATGTCTTCTGAGATAATATTATCAATCATTCCATCCATAATTTCAACGTGATTGAAGAAGATAATGAAATGAAAACCAACAAAACAAAACCACCGAGAGGCGAAAATCGAGAGATCATATGTTATGGTTATGTTCTGCTGCCAGTACCAGTACTGCCAAAATCTTGCCGAAATTAAATGAAAATTCAAAGCTACTGCTACTGTTTAGTGTTCCTGAATTGCTTACTGTGGCCAGTAATATCATCAATATCGGAACATGACCACAATCTCCATTTTCCCCGTTCGTACCCTGGCATTATCTTTCTTCTTTGTATACTGAAATGTACCACCGTTGGGCACGTAACCCAGAGGTTATAAGTTCGACTCTCCCACGGGTCGGTGGGGTTTCTTCTTTTTCCGTCAACAGAAATTATAATATTTTTCCGTCATCTTCGTTACATGAAATATCTATCTTTTCGATTGAGTCCCCGACAAAAATTATGACCGACTCCTACATACCTGGAATCACTGCTAATAAATTCTTGCCAAAAAGTACGTGCACCATATCTGTTGCGTTTTCAATTTTTTCCATGAGTGTTTTGCCATGTTTGGAGCCATACTGTACCGCTTTTTTCAGTAACTGTTGGTACTGTGGTAAGGTTGCTGTTTGGAATATTATAGTTGGATTGGTTGTAGCATATGTTACGTTGAAGGCCTTTATTATTTGATAGTCAGCTGTATCAGCTGATATGGTTGTGTGGGTTTTGAGTTGCTCTAAAGCATTCTTCATCTTTACCGTATGACGATGACCTGACAACTGGATTTAACGGTAATTGAAATTATTGTTATCGAAGAATTCTTGTGTTTCTCAATATTGTTGATATATATTTTTATCTCTCATAGGTTGTTGTGTATGATGTAATATTTTAGGGGGTTATCTTTCAGTAAGATAAATTAAGTTGAAAATAAAGATATGAATTGGGCAAACGATACCTGATACCTTGGAAACACGGTAGAATAAGAAAACATCTGGACATAAAAAAACGCTGATTATTTCGATTTTAATACAGTTAAATTGGATTTTTATGACAAATTACCATGGCAACGTATGTATTTTAGTGGATTTTTCTATTTCGTGGGTATCCACCATCGTATGAAATCGGACATGTTTTTATTTTTTTTTATCGCTTGGAGCGCATGAAAGGGAATCCTTATAATGTTCAAAGAACATCGTGCGTTCCTAGGGAGGATAGGGATAGGAGGTAGGTATTGGAATTTTTTTTGAACTTCTGGAGATTATATGATGTTGGGAATATTCCTCAGGCAATGAATTCCAGATCCTAGCCGTTCTATGGATGAAGGAGTTTTGATAAAGTGCTGCTCGACATCTTTCGAGGTTGACAACGAAAGGATGTGCTGACTGGTATTGCTAGTGAATGGATGATAGCAGAGATTTCTTAAGAACATTTCCCGAAAAGTATCGATAGAAAAGTGAAAGGTCGCCGACCATTTTACGGTGTTCCAATGATGTCAAAGAGTGAGTGAGTGTGGCGTCACCCACCAGGCGAATGGCTCTTCTCTGGATGGAATCTAAGAGCATCAGCGTATGTTTTGGTGCTGAACCCCATATGTGGGAACAGTATTATAGAACAGGCCGTATCTGCGCTTTGTAGATCATGAGGAGCTGTTGAGGAGGCTTTTCGCACGGAACAAGAATCCGAGTTTTTGTGAAGCAGCTTTTGCGATGGATCTGACATGATTATCCAATGAAAGAGTGTTGCTGATGGAAATACCGAGCATAGATATGGTGGGCTTGGTGGGGATGGTGGTGCCAGACATTACAATGTCGGGCATACTGAGTTCCGCCTTTCTAGAGAAAATACAGGCTTGAGTTTTGGTGGCGTTGAATTCAACTAGGTTGTTGGTTCCCCAGGCTGTGATTTCAGCAAGGTCTTCATTGACAGCATTGACCTGCCTGCGCCGTGAGTTCTTAGTTTCCTGGGAAGAAATGGGAATTCTGGAAGAGAACGCAGTATGGAGGGTACTATCATCTGCAAAGCTGTGGATCAACGAATTAATTCTAAAATTATTTAATTTCCATACACAATCTGGTGTGAAATTTTCTTACCGATTACCACACGAGGTCAAATTACTTTCCGCGAATTTTTTCTCGCTAATGAATATTTCAAGAGTTACCTATTCCTCGTCTTCGAATTGAATCGGAATAATTTTCACAAGTGAAAATTTCTATTATTTTTTTCGGAAAGTTATAACTGGAGAAAATATTTCACTGATATTTTTTCAACTCCAGACTCAGAAGTAACGATTAATCCATGTATCTGGAATACCAGAATCATACTCCAACTGCTGATGATACCTTCCAAGAAATTTACTGTAATTTCTGAGAGGTGTACTCCTCCAGTTATAACACTTTGCAACTGCTTCATAAAATTTACTAGAACAAAGTCCATTTCAAGACAGACTAATTAAACCGAATTAAACAGAGTATGCACTGTTCTGATTCCATTAATATTAATTAACTAAACAAGAAATGGATGGGTAAAAGACTAATGTTCCAAATGAAGTAGCCTTATTCCAATAACAAGACTTTCAGAGCTTATTCAGTACTTTGATAAGATATCTTGGCATCAGAGAAGAAGGGAATTCACGATGAGAAGACTCTTTTTCATTTGTTTTTTCCTGAGGCAAGTTTTCGATAGACAAAAAATCTGTACAGACCCAATTGACAATATTGAAAAACTCGTCAAAACTATAATGAACTTTTTTATTCCATGTGGGCGGTACTTCAATATCGAATCTGATGATGAAATATAAAGAATATACGAATCTCATATGCTTTTATTCTATTTGCATAACAAATTACCTATACGTCATAGCATCTCACGACAAATACAATATGTATAGGTACTATTTATTTTTATACAGCCAATATTGCCAATATGGACGGATGCATCTGTATAATGTGAAAAGTGTGGTTTCAACACCGATAACGTGTTTACTGATAATATATACCAATTTGATATTCATAATTATCCATTGCATAACCGCTAATGCCGATAAATATAAAGGTTGTGATGTGTATGTTAACTTGTGAATTTATAGTTCCATAAACAAATCATGAAGATAAATTGTTATTGTAGACGAGATAATTAGTCAAAATGATGTTTACTGAATTGTTTATCAATATCTTGATTTCATCAGGTACAATCAAACAATTTTCGGTCTGCATCTGACTAGTCAAAATTAGGTACGCTCATGGAAGAAACAGCATGATGAGAAAAAAATCTCAACCCTGTTTATTTAGTACCAAGACTGCATGTATTCGGAAGGAAATAAAATGTTGTCTACAAACGTCAAAAAATATAGTTCTGTAGTAGTAATATGCTTAGCTTGATATAAAAAAAAAATTTTGAACAGGCTTAAACGGCCTCTCCCAATCCTCTCTAGGTACGCGCGATGTTCCACGGACATAATAGGAATTTCCTTTCGTGCTGTCCATCAAGAGTTAAACAAAAATTGTCAAACATTCAGAAATGAATGATGTCTCAGATGTTTGCTCGATTGAGGACCATAAAGTTGAAACATAAAAATCTCTTATAGTTTACATACAATGCGCGAAGTATGTACTTCATGCATCGTTTTACTTCACACACTGCTTCGCACATGGTGTCGTGGTAACATAGGAAACTGAAAAAAAAGTGTCACTTCGCAATTTGTTATCAATGCGCCAACCTTGTCCTTTTTTGACGTATGTGAAAATAGTAGATTGTTTTATTAGGATGCATATGTATGCAAAGCAACGAATAATCCGTGAGGTGGGAATATTCTACCTGAATTGACAGATCAGGTTTATTCAATTTTCAAGGATGTTCGAAGTATAGTTTCAATATAAATACAACCACAGAGTGACATATTTGTGTATGGATCAGGTGCTCTAATAGCAAATACCGCGCCAGTACCAGGTATATTAAAAGGACGTGGAAAATGTTAGGTTGGTATGAGCATTTCAACAATAATAATAACGATTGTTTATTTCTCTCCATACTCCACTGTTTTTGATTCGATAATAAAAAGAAGATATACTATATCGTTGTTTGAGACAAAAATCTATTGCTGGCCGTGATTATTCAAAAACAAGTTATCCATCCCAAGAATAACGGATGAAAAACAGATTAAGCAAATATGTGAATCTTGATGGCTTTCCTGATCAGAACAAAAATACTCAACTATGTTGTTTATTCTTGATGACCTCTAGTACATCCTATTTAAAAGTTCATCTTTAGCTCCTAGGAACTAAATGTGTTGCCTAGAAAGACCTGATTTTTGTGTCGGTTGCAGGAAAAAGGAAATTTACGATCCGTTGACGTTGTACAAAAATTTATTCATGGACCATCAAATTTGTTTCTTTATTAAATGCATCAATCGGTCAAAGAGCAAACGGTAAAAGGTGAATATCGAATTGATCCGTGAATCTGAGTTCTTTCATTCCTTTTGCTTTCAAATCCTTATACGTGTCCATTCACACTTTTGTAGACATTTTGTATGCTCTTTCATGAGTAGACTCCTGAGAGATCCGGTAAACGTTCTATATAAAGGAAAAAGGAACTTCTATTTCGTACGCCATAATTTCAGATTTATTTAAATAAAAATAAACTTGACTGAAAAATACCAGGTGGCCAGTGTATAGTTAAGTCCTGAACAGATAGTTTAATGCATTAGAAGAAATAAACAAATCTGTTGGGTTTAATGGGTCTGCTAGCGAAAAAAACACGAGATGTCGTGGAAACACAAGCACTCTGAAAAATATCCCGAAATGTTGTATTGAAGTATTAGAGAAAGTTATCAACATCGAGCTCATGGAATACCTGGAACATCCAGGTATTATCAACGATAGGCAATATGGCTTCCGTCATCAGAGATCAACTGGTGACCTGCTCGCTAACGTCTCACATATATGGCAACAATCTATTGAAAAATATGGTGAAACCTTAGCCGTGGCACTTGATATCTCCAAAGCATTCGATCGAGTCTGGCACCACGGACTCCTCGCCAAGCTTCCATCTTATGGCTTGACTCCCCAGCTATGTTCTCTGCTAGCTAGTTTTCTATCAAACAGATCTCTCCATGTAGTGGTCGACATAGTATCATCTGACCCTCTTATCATAAATGCTGGTGTTCCGCAAGGATCAATTCTAGCATCAACACTATTTCTACTCCATATCAACGGTTTGACTTTATGTCCAGTACACAGCTTCGTGGATGATAGTACCCTCCATACCGCCTTCTCTTCCAGGGCTCCAATACCAGCTAGGCAAATGTTGACAACATGAATATGGACTTGGCAACAATTTCGAATGGGTATCCAATAACTTGGTAGATTTCAATGCAACCAAAACACAAGCATGCCTCTTCTCTAGAAAAGCCGATCTCACTGTGCCCAACATAAGCCGAGACATAAGCTTGTCAGGAGTAACCAAACCTTTGAAGACATCCATTTCGAGGCTTGGTATAACTATCAGCAAAAACCTTTCTTGGGATAATCACGTGACATCAATTGCTGAAAGTGCATCCCAAAAACTTGGTTTTATTGTTTCGGGCCAGGAGCTATTCCACTTCCAGTCAGCTGCTTATGAACTATAAGGCACAGATCAGACCGGTCCTGGGATACTGTTCCCATATTTGGAGTGCAGCACCCAAACATACCCTGAAACTGTTGGATTCTATCTAAAAAAGGGCAATTCGTCTCGTGGGTGATGCCTCGCTCAAAAACTCACTCACTTCTCTGGAACACCGTAGAAAAGTTGGCGATCTGGCTCTATTTTATAGATATTTTCATGGAAGATGCTCTTCTCAAATATCAATAATTGTTCCTCCCTTGGCAGTTCCCGCGAGATTAACCCGTCGAGTTGAGGCCTCGCACCCCTTCGTTGTCACTTTGGAGACCTGCAGAACATCTCTTTCCAAAGACTCGTTCATCCAACGAGCAGCGAGGCTCTGGAACACATTGCCAAGGGGGGTGTTCCCCGAGGTATATAACCTCCAGAAATTTTCGAAGAACACCAATTCCTACATTATTTCGCTTGGTTCTCACGATGTTCTCTAAACATTACAGGATATCCCTTTTCGTGGGATCCAGAACATAAAAAAATGCTTGTGATTGGTCCTGTTGTGTCAGAATTTTATAAGATGAGTGAAATAGTCAATTGCATTTTGCACTGTTGCATCCGTGCGATAGAATCACCTTTAAAATAACCTAACACAATAAAATAATAAAATTATGTTCGTTTTATTGGAGTGCTCCAAGTAGAGGGGACTGGGAGATGAGTGGACTGAAAATACAAACATGAAGTAAATACCTATTTGCTGAAACATTTTTCCCCCAAAAATAAAAATCGATCGATAAACGATTATTCTTTCGGTTTCAAAGATAACGGGGTGGTAAATTTTATCGAGAACACACTGTTATGTGCCAGGTAATAACAGAATGAACTCGAAACATTTGCATAATAATCCTATATACAAGGGTATTATCCCAAATATCGCTTTCAAATTGCCTGAATATATGCAGCACGCGAGATCATATCTGCCCAACTCCAATAAAGACGGAAATAAATTGTGTTTTGATGAGAGATAACAGAAACCTAAATCAGACCAATAAAAAAGGTCGAGTAGTGTTCTTGTCATTATAACAATGAGTAGCACAGAGACTTTTTGCAATTAGAGAAAATGACAATCTAAAATCTCCGATACGTCAAAATAAGAAGAAAAATTCGTATAAATATATGTCCGAAAGTTATTCGTTTCTGAGATACAGAGTGTGAAAGTTGAATTCTTATTTTCGTTTTTTGGTGATAAATTTCAAAATATTTGTGATATCCGAATGAAGTATAGTAGAAAAATAGATTTCTAGAAAATTTTCGTGTAAAAAATGTATTCTTGGTATAGGTCACTGCGAGCTACTGTTTTCGAGTTATTGGGATTTGAAATAATCAATGCAAGTAATTTGGAATGACAAGAAGTTGGAATTCAAAATTGAACTTCAGCTCCTCGGCCAATCCGTCTGTAGGAGAATATTGAATGAAAGAAGAAAAATGCACTGGCGTATCTTTTCTGATATTTACTTTTCAGAAGCGACCTCTACCAGGAATATATTTTTTACACAAAAGTGTTCTAGGAATTAATTTTTCTACTATGAAATGTGATACAAGAACGCACAAAAAAGTTTTCCAAGAGACTCAAAAGACATGTAGGAAGTAATGAAATTAATAAATCTCGTCTGATCCCAATTTTGTACCCCAAAATGAGCAAAAATAATATTTTGAGCACATAATATGAATAGTTAAAATCGTCTGTGCACGAATAAAAAGCACATCGTTGAATAGAAATTTTGATGTTCTTTTCAGATATGGCGAAAAAAATGAGAAATTCGAATGTATAGGGTGTTGTTTTCTGGCAGAAAGAATTTGTGAATTTTAAGTGAAGCCGGACCTGGATTTTATCTTTTGTTGTTGCCTCAATCAATTCCACAGGGTAGATTGAGCAAGTGTACCAATTTTTAAAAATATATACAGGTTGGTTGGAAAGTTATGAGACAATGAAGATATGGACAAAATTGATGAAACATCCTGTATCTCGATTATAAGAAGTCGAAGACCCATCAACCATGGGTTTTTTGAAATCACCTCAGTGACCCCTATCCACAGTTGAATTATTTACCTTTCCCAATGAAACACTCTGTATACTAGATTATAATTAGAATTGAAAATACCTATCCCTATATCCTCCCTAGGGACGCACGATGTTCTTTGAACATTATAGGGATTCCCTTTCGTGCGCTCCAAGCGATAAAAAAAAAGTTCTTCCATATAGTGACATAGGTCATATTTCGTTTTCACAAAACTATAATGATTGAAATATATTACTAGGGGTGAAAAAAAATTAATAAACACCGGTGCGTATACCGCTCGGCTGAACCCTCGGTATATAATCTTGATGGTCCCTCGGTAATAATTATATTCTTTACTACCTTGGTGCATAAATAACTTTTCCAATTCCACAAATTTATAGGAAGTCCGGAGCAAGAAGAATACCAACGGACACATCCTAAGAGATTGAAATAATTCAACATCTGTTACTTCCAGTAGCGACTTGTACCCTCCCAAAAACCTCTAGAACAAACGCAACAAATCCCCTATTCCAAAAACTCACCAAAATCACGATCCGCAAGCCGAAAAACACCGAACCAAACAACTCAGGAATGAGAAACTTCCGCAGTTTACACGCGAAAACTCCTTCGACCGGAGATAACTTCTCGCGCAACGCCTGCTGCTGACGTCTTGACGCTGTGCTCTCTCGGTGGCGTCTGGACGCGTCGAGAGCTCGCATCGGATTCAGGAGGAGGAGGAGGAGGAGGCTCTCCTCCTCCTCCCCAGGGGACTCAGGTCAAAACAGGTGGCCCCCTCTTCCCGTCTATACACGCCCACCGGAGCATTTCGCGACCCCGGATCGTGTGTCGGTCTTGTGGAATGCGAATAGGAGAACACCTGGACTTGACACGTGACGTTACAATGTTAGATTGTCAGAGATCAATGATGGAAAAATAAGTAGTAATTTCTTAAAAAAAACAACTAAAGAAACACGCTTCTATGGATAGCCAAACCGAAAAGAAGTATAAAAGAAAATAATAATAATAATAACCAGAAGAGAAAAATCAAGGAATCTGCTTGTATTCTTCTGAACGGAGACAATAGCTTTGCTTCTTGTTCAGTTGATATAGACAAAACGAGGTGTTCACTACTGAAATCTGTAAATGAAAATGGTAATTTCAAGATTAATTAATGAAAACATACTGTAAACTCATTTGATTGCCAACGTCACCAATTGTCACTGCGAACTGAAAAGTTTCAAGACAGATACGAATTTGCTATTCAAATAAACATTTTTTTATGTTGAAAACGGGAACAGATTCGTTCCTTAAACATCCAGAGCTAAGTGAAAATTCGATATTTTTTCTATATACCTTTATTTCCCTTCTCCAAACCTTTTTCAATACAAATTGTCACTGAAAAGTTAGTGAATTTTTCTTTTAGGCTCTGATAGAAAAATTCTTCAAACGCAGTGACATTTTGAAGCAAATCATCTGATTAGTCGTGACTACACGCATATTGAAATAATATTCATATATCCATTTTATAGAAACGAGGAGAGAAAATTCCAAACAATCTGGAGTATTAAAATAATAAAATTGTGTTGATGAATACATAACATAAAATTTACGGTGGTGCTAATAATATTTGTTTTCTGATTTTTTATCCGGCTAACTACAAGAGCGTATTTTTTAGTGTTGTTATATATCTTGTGAGTAACCAATTTTGACGCAAGACGCATAATCTCCAACCCCGAAAATCTCCAGATTTAAATTTCCAATAGAATCGGATCATAATTACCAAACTCGTCCACCATATTGAATTTGCCATCCTGAGTTTCCCAATTTTGTCGAAAGAATCATAATCTCCAACCCCGGAAACCCCCAGATACTAATTTCGAATAGAATCGGATTATAATTACAAAACGCGTCAGCCATATTGGATCAGCCATCTTGAATTCACCTGTTTTGACAAAAGAATAGTAATCTACGACCTCGAAAACCCCCAGATACAAATTTTGAATAGAATAATCACAATACCATTGCATTGCCACCTACCCGAATTATGTACACTTACCAAATTCCAAATCGGTCAAAGTGTGTCAAAGGAGTCGGTTACATGTTACATACAGGTGAAGCTGATAAAAGCGTGATAATAGAAATGGAATGTCCTCAGCATAGAAATTGAAACAGGTATTTTTTTGAGATATTCGCAGAAATTAGCGAAATTTTCGAACTTTTTCTGGTTTATTGCTTAAAATTTCAAAAGGTATGTTGAGTATCAATAGAACAACTTCAACCGTTTCAAAAATAAACTAAATTATCCATCACTATTTGACTTTGAGCAGGTCTATCAGTGACTGAGATACAGCACTGCAGAAGTGAAATTTACAGTTTTGGGTCAAATGTTTAGCTAAAAATTGGGGAAAATACTTATTCTACGAGAAAATTCGCCAGGAATGAAGTTGTAGTAAATTTTTTCAGCTCTAAATCAAATTGTAAGCGACATGATTCGATCTGAACCTTTTTATGACTTGAAAACTTCACAGCTCTTTCTTGAATTCACCTCATTCGTGTTCCATATTAGTTGGTAAAGTTATGATTATTTCTATGTACAGGGTGATTGACTATGGATTTCTCGACTTCAACAGCTGATATCTCGAAAACGAAAAAAGATATTTGAAATTTGGAGGAAGTTACTTGAATGAGATGTCATTTTCTTCTGGAAAATGTGTTCTCTGCTTGATTTTATCATTTCATATACAGGGTATGTGAAAAAAAATATTTTTTTCAAATGGAACCCCCTGTATATTATCGCATATTTCGAAAGAGCTATCTTTCCTGATTTTGAAAATATATACTTTTCATATAGTCTATCGAGTGCTTGACGAAATATCAGCAAAATTAAATATTAATATTTGGTCCAAGTTAGCTATGGTTGAAATAGAATGAGATGATGAATAAGTGAATTGACATTTGGTCAACATTTCAGTGACATAAGTGCGCAAAATTTCGACAATTTTTTCACGATGCCATATCCACTGGAACAAAGAAGAGATATTTTGGAGTGCTATTTTTCAGTTAATAAAAATCTTGCTGAAACACTTCATAAGTTTATGAGGAGTTATCCAGGCAGGAGATTACCAAGTAAGAATTATGTAAAGTATTTGGCTGCTAAATTTGACAGAACTTCCAGTTCGTCGAATATCAAGAGAATAGTGAGAAGGCAAGACAACGAAGACGAGGAACTTCTTGTAATCCAGTATTTTGTTGAGGATCCGTCACGGTCAATAAGAAATGCAGTGAGAGAGTTTGGTTTCAGCTATTATTTTGTTCAACATACCTTAAGGAAATATAAATATAGGGATTTCAGAATTAGACCATGCCACAAACTCAATTATGATGATAATGAGAAGCGGATTGAATTTTGTTCTGTCATATCTGAAAGATTAAATTTAAGTAAGTATAAGTGTAAGTGTTTCAGCAAGATTTTTATTAACTGAAAAGTAGCACTCCAAAATATCTCTTCTTTGTTCCAGTGGATATGGCATCGTAAGAAAATTGTCGAAATTTTGCGCACTTATGTCTCTGGAATGTTGGCCAAATGTCAATTCACTTAATTATTCATCATCTTATTCTATTTCAACCATAGCTATAACTTGGACTAAATATTAATATTTAATTTTGCTGATATTTCGTCAAGCCCTCGATAGAATATATGAAAAGTATATATCTTCGAAATCAGGAAAGATAGATCTTTCGAAATATGCGATAATATACAGGGGGTTCTATTTGAAAAAAAAAATTTTTTTCACGAACCCTGTATATAAAATGATAAAATCAAGCAGAGAACACGTTTTCTAGAAGGAAATGACATCTCATTCAAATAACTTTTTCCAAATTTCAAATATCTTCTTTCGTTTTCGAGATATTGGCTGTTGAAGTCGAGAAATCCATAGTCAATCACCCGCTTGATATATGGTTGAAAATATTTCAATAAATAGACTGTCTAAATTGAGTCGCATTTAATGAATAAATCACAGTATTATCTTCGTACATGGATATGGATGACTTCGCTAGGTGTTTTCATGTAGGTACGAAAAGTTGCAGAGATAGAGAAACAATATCTAGAAACACAACAACACGGTATGCCGAGTGATACTCTGGCTCTTTTGGAAATATTATTAGTTTATAGGTGTTTCTATATTACCCAACAATTATACTAAGAAAGCAAGCGATGATTATTAACAAAATTATGCGCAAAAAAATTAGTTCAAAAAGTTAGGCTCGTCAACGTCTACTTCCGTGGTCCAAACACAGCACTGAATGAACAGCTGTCTCAAGACACGCTGTGAGAGGCTGTGGTTTGACCCGCGGCTCTTTTTGGTGCTATAGGGAAAAATGTTTGACAGGAGATGAAAACTATGTTGAGAAGTGAATAATAAAATAGGAGTTACCGTTAGGAGAGAACAATATGAAGGGCAGTTCAAGCCAATGAGAAAAATTGCGGATATAATGTTATTTTTTTTTTATTATGTAGTGTCCAATCTGAAATGATTCATCGGTCGTCCAGCTACAATCCTGTTTCAGAATCATTCGATTTTCTGAGTCAGTAAATGAAGGAAATTTGATCAAGATGGCAACCGAACTACAGAAATAGTATACGTAGAGGATCTGGAAGAATTTTTTTCTGACGGAGATCAACATTGAATTGTAGATAATGATAAAGCTTATGAAGTAGAAGACATTTGTATATAGTTTGTCGCAGATTCGCTTCTCTATTCAGGGATCTCGGCTCCTATAATAGCTACAGAAAAAGTTGAACGAAGAGAGTTTTAGAGAAAACTTACAAGTACATTCGATAACCAGGTTCAGATTTACGATCAGTCAACTGGTTCCTCATTTTCTGGCAAAAAAAAATCCGCCGATTGTCAATTTGAAGCTGGTTAACGAATGCACTAAGTTTCCTCTAAGACTCTTCCCATCATTCAACTTTTGCTGATTTCATCTGGCGAGATCCCTGTCTAGAGAAGCAAATCTGATTTTCTCAAGGAATGAAGACTTTTTCTTTTCCATCCCCACATAAATCCCAATGTACCAATTAATTATGAGTGAGTGACGCGAGCTGGACGGAAAATTCATTAAGAGATATAATTTGGTGATTTGGGGATGGGCACAAACAATTTCGCTTTCGGTTTCCGCATTGTTCCGCTCATTACTCTTCCACAGACTGACTATACAGAAGAAGTAACAATGGCCATAACGAAAGACCCCCTATGGTGATTTGAATCTTCCCAGCTCCCATTTTCTCTCCTTTGGAATAAAAAACATCTAGACTTTGATTTACTACCATTCTCCATAGCTCCCAAAGAGAGAAACATTCACTTGAACAATTTAGGCAAGAGTGAAGTGATTATTCCATGATGAAGACCACAGGGGAAAAAGGGGGAATGTCACAATATAGTGGAAATGGACTTGACCGTTACCACCGACTTGACACGACTTGACACCGCCATCTCATAGCGTAACCACTATATTGTTGTATAAACAGAAGTCCATAGCAATAAGGCAGGATGGTCAGCTAATATGTTCGTTCGAAAATACGTTCACATGGGAAAAACGCGAGGAAAAACGCGGAATTTCCACTTCAAAAATGTGAAGAAAGGGGAACGTCTAAGTCAAAGTGAACTCTCAGGCAAACAAAATATGAGAA